ATGTTATTGCAATAGCCATTATAATATTGATGAACGACTTCTTCATCTAAGAAAACAGGGATGCACCTCTGCAGTGAATGACGAAAGAATTAAAACAGTAATGTTGAGCACATTTATTCTACAGCAAAATCTAACATCTATGCTTCCAGAATCAGAAATGGTCAGTGTATTAAAGAATTAAGTGACCCCAAAAAATGATTATTCACCTTCTCAGCTAGCTCCGTAGTGAGGGTATTCTGCCCGATCTCATCTGGCACATTTACACCTGCCCACCCAATCCATCGTGCCTCAAACTCCTTCACACCTACATTAGTGACACAGGTGTGAGACCAAAAGTCGAAGAAAAGAACATGTAAATTCGTAGTTAAGTTCCTAAGGTAGAATGGGACGGATCAAGTTATAGGAAAATGAAGAAATCAGATAAAATGCTCACCGAGAAGAGCGCTTACTAGACCCCCTGCACTTATGTCTAGTGACCATGAATCCTCACCTCTCCGAACTGCAGATACAGGAAGTCTATTAGCAACCACTAACAATCTCTGTCTGTTAGGCCTTCCATCAGACCTTTCTCTTGCCCCATTAATCACCAGTGCTGCAGCTTCTTCCAAATATCTTTCCAGGTTGGGAGGTAATGAAATATCCTGCCCAGAGATCTCAGTCCCTCTGTTGCCATCAGTAACATCATTTGGAGAAGAAGATTGGCTGGTTCTTCTCAGATGTCTTTCTCTCACGAGCCTCGTCACTAGATTGTTGGGGACTTCTGAGTTTATGTCGTTATACTTGCTCCCAGGCATAAGGGCAGTTCAGAACAAGACCTCCGAAATGAGCTTTTAATACAGTTCGAGTGTCCCCCAAAGCAATTGCCCTGCATTTTGATTAGCACAAATTGAGAAGTAATAGCGCCAGGATTCTTGTAAATATGAAGCAATAAAAGTAAACAATTCTATAGAAGTAGTATTGATTCTTTTTCTTTGTTCCTAGTGACTGTCGACGTTTAAAGGCATTTTGCATACTTACCAATCAAAATCAAAACCAGAAAAGATAGACAGGTATAAAGAAAGAGATAATGAGAAAATGGGATCCACAGAATTGTGTGAGGGGGAAAATGGGGTCTACCATGAAGGCTCAAACACTAGTTTCGAAGATTTTAACAACCCACGTTGTATGAATTCATGAAGTATCCTAAGTTCAGTCAATACAACAAAAGAAGGATTATTAAAGTGTAATGTACATATCTGTAATATATACGTACATACATGCATACCCCATTGCTAGAGAGGAATGAAGAAGATAAAAATGAGATTTTTAGCTGAAGATTTTACAATGGATTAAAACACAAACAGATTGCATGCAGGAAAATCATGGAGTTTGGGACCACCCAGAAGTAAATTTAAAACCATACAAAGCAGAATTTAGAGCTTTAAGAATCAAGTAAAAATCAAATAATTGCGGAACGATTTCTCAATAAAGAAAATTCTTTATTTTCAACCATAAATATCAATTTAAAAAAAAACAAACGAGTCTTTGAACAAATAAAACTAACAAATAATTTAGAGACATAAAAAAGAATAAATTAAATGTTAAATTTCTTTTTCCTTTCTTCGATTCACTTGGCAGTCTACACCACCATCCCACCACAATTCCAATCTACCCAAACTAATTTATAAAAATTTGTAATAATGAATATTCTAAAAACAACCAGTAAGATACGTGCAGTTTCTATATACAAATATATAACAATAAAATCTATATTTCATACCGCTCTGCTTTTATAAAGTATATCGGTGACCAAGCGACACACCCATCTTAGGTCCTCTTATATCTCGTATGATTTCATTTCTCTTTTTATAGAACCCGACGGTCCACTAGCAATCCATGCATATTTAATTGCATATAAAAGCATATAGAAACGAAAACAACTTACACATATGTATCTTACCTTGTTTATTTAAGAGTTGCAAAATGATTTCTTGTCTTCTAGTTCCCAAAAGTACCCTCTTTCTCTCTCTCTCTTTCTTTTTCTCTCTTACGTGTGTATAATTTTTGGTATGTGAATTATGGAATCCATGTATAGTATTTATAGTAATAAAAGTGGTTGAGTTATACTAGAAAATATGTACCCTATTGGATAAAACCTAATTTAGGTATTTGGATTATATTTTAATAATAAATTCATAGTTATCCAAATAGGATACTAGCTATCACATTAAATTCAAAATAGGTTAATATTAAACTAAAAATAATGTTAAAATTCAATACACACCCACACGTTTTTGGAGAGAGAAAATGAATTGAATTATAGTTTAAATAAAGTTCTATTTATCCTCTTTTCTTTCAATTGAGTCTAACTTAATGTATTTTTATCCAAAATAACTTTTTCTCAAGTCAAAGACTTCTAATTAATTATCACCTATAAAATGAGTCCAATATCGATATACTAAATCTCGCTCTAACAATATCTAATTATTTGGATCAAATAAAATAGAAATTTAAAACATTTTTCATTTTAGTCCTCAACTTAAAAAAAATGTAAATATATAATATATAAAATAAATAAATTTTATTCTTAAATATTCGAGGCATTACATATCCAATCATTTTTCGCCACAACTTCATCTGTCAACCAAGGTGTTAAATTCCTGTGGCAAAACAGCATAATTTATGTAATTTAGTTGTTCAGGCGGGGGTTAGCCCGACCCATCCAGAGAGGACAGCCAGCCCAGACTTCTCTCTTTTAGCCATGAGGCTTGTCAGGTTTCAATTGTATTAGCTATCTTTAGACAAAAGGATTATTATAAAAGAATTGTAAAAGTCAAAGAATCTGTTGGTATGTTGTATAGATGAACTAGGAGTCTTTAGGTTCGAGTACGTAACATGGAGAAAGAGTAGCATAAATTATGCTAGCCTGTCACTAAACTCATGCTCGAGCGTCCAAAACAGAATCATTGCCGTTTGCCTTTCGCTCAGCGCTAGCCCAGTGATCGAGCGATTGTATTTTTCGAGAAACCCTAGTTCGCGATTTTCAAGAGTTAATCTATCCTATACTACCCCAAATATTCTCTACTATAAATACACAAGCCCCACTTCGTAAAAATGGTAGTTGGTCATTATTTTCTACCTTCCTAACATTCTTAGTAGATCAAACAACAATTCTACATCTTGAGATCAATTAAACACAAGTTGAAAAAAACATAAAAACAAATAATCCAAAATACCCACTTCCTGAATATAATCAGAAAGGTGCTTTCTCAATAGCCTTCAGAGATTGCTGAAAATTAAGAGAGATTGGACCAGAAGCATAGGAAAAGTACAAAAACAAGGCGTTCTTGGTGATCCACAGGGAATAGACAATTCCAAAAAATCGAGAACATGTGTGAATGAAGCACGTTCCAGCGGATCTTGGAGATTGTAGGAATTAGATCGGTAAGTCTAGTGGTTTTTCTAGGTTGGATCATACTGTAAGTTATTATTATCTATAGTGAAGTCACTGACTTAGTCCTGGAGTTTTTAATCTTGTGATGGATTTTCTGTCAACAAATTTTGTGTTATTTACTGCTTCATTGACTATTGTGATAATGCAACATAGGATAATATTGACTTGATTGACTAAACATATAGAACAATTAAAGGTGACTTCTTACTTTTAATTGATAATTTTAATTCCGTGTTATTCACCTATTCACCCCCTCTAAATGATTTTAAGGTCGAACTAGTAACTACCAAGGCTCAACCGGGGCTTTTATAATTTTGTTTACAAAAATTTACTAAAGAGTAAAAAATCAAAAATAAAATAAAAATAAAATAAATAAATAAATAATTTTTCACAGTAGAATATCAAGTTCTACACTCTGTTGAGGATACATGCACAATTTCTAGCCTTAACACGAATTTAGAACACAACACCTGAACCAAAGTCACTTCAGTGAAATAAACCAAACATTGCCTTCTTTGGCCTAAAATATTTCTTACCGTTCACTTTTGAGTCATAAACGCAACATCATTGAATTAATTGCTGGAATTATTTTTGAGATCTCTATTTACTTCTATCAAACATTACGATATCTAAAAAAACAACACCGATCCATTTCCATTTCCACAGAAAATTAGAAACGCAGCAATAACTGAATTCCGACATTCACGTCCAGTTCTAAACTGGAATTTTAAAACAAGATATTCCAAAATTCAATTAATCACTCTGCATAACAAGAAATTCAGTAACTGTAGAGAAAACTGACCAGTATATTTCTGAAAATTGGACGTCAATTTCACAATCCGGTAGTGCTTTTTGGCCAAAGATGAGAGTTCTCGAGAAGAAAATGAGTCAAAAAGAGAGGCTTACATGTACAGTAACAGCTTTACACACACATATGTATGCATATGTTGTATGTATCTTTGAGAGAGGAAAGAGAGAGAGAGAGAATGGGAACCGGTGAAGGGAATTTTTGGCAGACAGTGTAAATGGGAATGCTTTATATAAGGTGCTGATGCAGCAGCTGCGAAGGAAAGCTGGCGGGAGCTTTGTCCCCCATTCATTTGGAGGGAATTTATTCCTCTTGCTCATGAATATTTTTTTTTATATATTTATTTTAACAAATTTTAGTAAAAATATATTTATTGATTATTTAAAATCGACCCTAGTAGGTTCCAAGACCGATTCTATTTACTTAGCCCTTGTTTGAGCCCAATTTTTGGTGAAGGAATGCATTTTAAATAATAGATTGATGAAGAATGTGTAGTTAAAAAATAAAAAAATATTTTAAATTTGCGTGTAATATTATTTTATTGAAGAATACGTAATTGAATATAAGTTTTGAAAAACTGAATTTTTAAAAGAATAGGGCTCAAACAAGACTTATTTTCTTATTCAAGTTCTCGTCTGTATTTCAAAAACTTAAGATTGTTATTATCACCTCTTAATTCGTACCAATTGCAACGCTATATAATTCGTTTTTTCTTAAATTTAGATGAACTTTGGACTTGGGAGTAAAATTTAAAATCTTAATTAGAGGGTTTGAATCCATGTTCTTTTTAAAGACTATCGACAGAAGAATACTATGTTAAATTAAAAATCAATTAAATAAATATTAAAAAGTTGTTTGAAACGATTCGGAATGTCTAAAAGATTCAAATAACAACGTGTTGTATGTATATAAGTTTAATTATTAGGCTATAAAAGGAAAAATCATTAAACTTTACTTGAATTAGCACTTCATTATTGGCCTTTTCTATTAATTTTATCCACAAAATTTGTGACAATATGTAGTAAGAAATAGCCAAATAGGTCAGTTTTATAGAGGATGTTAGTGGATCCACCGAGTATTTTTGGTATG